CAGTAGTGACCCCACTGCTGTCACAATATACTCACCCACTGGATTCCGCCGCCGGTGTTTCTACTTCGGGGCGAACGTAGCAACCTCAAACGGGCTCCGCCGCCTAGTCATGCTCCGTCAATAACAAAATTCACTTCTTCATAGTATCGTCACACGACGATACATCTCATTCGACCATATACTCACATAACGAATGTCGTAATTATGTATATTATTATATCTAGTATGATGATATGTGTATATTATAGGTTGTTTGGACCTATCATATTGTTTCGTGCTACCAAGCTGTTTGGCCCCCACGCCAACTTTGGTTCCAGCCCATTGTTTGGTAAAACCCATATAAAGGATTTGAACTTTGTGCTCTTGTCACCTACAAGACACAAGTTGGCAGAAGACCAATCGATCACAGTACAGCCCGCGGAACCTGGAAATGCAACTGGCCACTTCAAAGGGAAAAGCCGCCGCAACTCGGAAATCCAATGCGTGATAGCACAAAGGTCAGTGCGTCTCTGAGGACAAACCAACCGCATTCAGGCATCGATTGGGTCACACCAAGACAATCCAGGGAGCAAACCATAAAACCAATGAACCTCCACATATAATTCAAAGCATCGGCTACAAACCTTTGCTACAATTTTGGTGCATTGACCGTCTTAGTTCGAACTTGGTTTATCAGTTACTCTGCGCCTTTGCTACATTAACACTCTTTAGCACTTGATCCGTCATCACAGTTTTTTTTTCTCCCTATGCGGATTCCGGCACTTCTAGCAACCAACTCGCTTTTCGTCTTCTTCTTGATCGGCGTAGAATATTGGTTGATCGAGCCTCCTTGCAATCAGGGGATAGCCTTTCTGTGGCGTTCCATAGGGCGTTGTTGTTGACTGCTGGAGAGAGTAGGGGGTGGAGCTCGGCTCGACGCGCACCGTGAGGAGCATCACAGTCACAGTCATAATCTTGATGAAGATGAAACAAGAGAGATATTCTTCTTAATGTTCGATGAAACATCAAAGATCGCAATTTTTAATGCTCATTTAGTACTCATGCAAAATGAAACGTTTCAATCGTACCGCCTATCACGTAAGAAGATTTCGTAAGTGTGTTAGGAAGTATATGGAGATACGGGTGAAACTTGAAACCTCTGAAATTTCAAATAGTTCTCTAGCGTTGTATGTATTGGGCAGTGACTCAAAAATGATGGTTTTTTCGGTAATAAAATTTTTGACAGATTCATCAAAATCATCCGAATCATCCGCGCTGAAGAACACCTAGACGGAAAAACCAGCAGTCAAACAAGTGTACCTTGAAGGGTCACAGACTATGAAAACACAACGATGTGGACTTTGATGTGGTAACGAAAATCCTAGGGTAAGAATCGAAAACATCGAAGCCTTCTGGATAAACCGCAAAAGTTCAAAAATGAATAGTAAGGAAGAATGCCTGAACATAACAAGTGATATAACACCTTATCCCAGAGTCATCTTCTAGTCTAAGTATGGTTCATATTTCAATATCTGTCACACAAGACCAGTGACCTCTCTCATATAAGTATAAATAAGGTGGATATTTCAAAATGAATAGACTTGCATTCTCTTCTATTGGAGTCTTGATGCATATGAATAACCGAGTAATCAGATATGGTATGATATGTACGTCGCTCTGACGAAAACGTTGCCGCCGAAACGTCATCCGACAAAGTCTGAGGAAGGAGAAGTACCAACCTTGAGCAAGTCATAATCGAAAAAAAAGAACAGGTTTTTCGACAGAAACACTGCCAATAAAGAGCGCTGAGATATGAGCAAAACTTGAAATTCAGACTGACTTTGAAGCCGCTATTGCCATTTCCGAAGGTCGATAAGTTTCATACTACATCATGGAGACCGCTCTGCCTTTTTACTAGCCGTACTTTGACCATTGTTGACCTGTTTTTAATTTTTCACGACACCAAACGCCTGAAAGATATCTCGCCGCTCGCAGCTGCTACAACTTTCAAGTCTTGTTCGTATATCAGGACTTTCCTGGTTATAGTTAGCTTTGCACCCAGCAGTTAAATTAGAAGAATATTTATTAATAGAAATAGGTATAGAAAAAAATGCTCAGTATGTTCCGTGATAAGAAAACTATGCTGTGATGACAGTGCGAGAATGGTTAGAAGAGCTGGAGTTTCGGCAACATGTAAACATCACGAGCACGTGTTGGAATTTCATTTCGACTATCAATTCAAACTTCATTCATGTCAGAAAACGACCTGAATAGGCTCTTTATCGCTCGTCAACGGCTACTGATTTTTCCGTTGTCAGATCGAAAATTATCATGCGTTATCTATAGGATGAAATAAAAGAGAATAAATCACGAAGCTTATAGAAAAAATCAGCATATAAAACTATGAGTTACAACTATATCTGACAAATCAGAGATATTCACAATTTCCACTTTCGTTCAGCATTCTATATATTGTATTAGACATCACGCCCTTATGTGCGAATATCACTACTAATGAAGAAAACTAGTAAACTCGACAATAAAACCAGATTTTCCGATCAAGCCTCTTTCAGAAAAACGCTGAAAAGACTTTCGGCATTGTTCATTCTCTAAGGGATGCGTCACGCATTCGACATGATCAAGCATTCTTTGAGCTGACTGAATGCATATCTGCCTTTTAGAAAGATTCGCGATGGCCTATCGATGTGCCATATCAGTGATGCTCTCCTCCCAGACAGGTTTGGTAGCTCGACTCCGAAGAGAATCAACGGGCTCGGTGAGCTTAGGGGCGGGATCGAACCATTGACTATTTAAGTGTCGCACGGCGCTTCTAACACAACCCCGGATCCGCTGTCAGAAATAAGAAGCTTCTCAGTCTTAGGAGACTTTCATATCATTGCTAGAAAGGAACTCTTAATTCAACCACTTTTTAGCCATGGTATAATGCTGTAACCAGATATCCAATACTGTTGAGCAATACGCAAACTACGAGCATTGAGCAAGAGTTAAACCAGCGCTTTACCCTTTCCTGGGATGCGTACTAATACGTGATCAATTAAGAATCTATGTTGATTACATTTGTCTATTAGCTATAGCTTAACTTGGTTGAATGTCGGCAGGTGCTTACCAGGTAACCCATTGATGGTTGGTCGCTAACGAAATCCATACGTTGTATCACAAAGACAGTGACAACATAACAGGAGCCCCAGTAGTGTAGTGCTGGCATGCTCTCACAGAAAGGGTCAAACTTGAGTTCAGCTTTACTCCCACGATAGGTTTGAGGTTTTGAATATCTCTCAATGTTAGTAGATATGCACACATTCGTTCTTTGAGTAGAGATTTAAAGCAGCAACTTTTTGTTACGGAAGCAAAATGAAAACCTCCTTACATTACCAAGGCAAAATTCATAATTCCGCGAAAGAGATGTTTTTCGCTTCATTTTGGTTAGAAATAACTTTTTTATCTCGTGTTTATCGTGCGAAAACAATTGATCAGGCGGGATCATACTAAGCGGAAGCCGGTGATTGCTATGACATGCTGGCTTTCGGAATTTCGGAGGTTTGAATTTAGTTTGTAACTTTTTTCAATGTAAATTTCAAACAGCTTCAGAAGTGAAATAAAGAGCTCGAAAAGTCTTATTCACAGCAGTTTTAATGAAGCTGTTCTTCAAAGTGGTGTAGTGTTCTACACCGCTCAACCGCTCTAACTTTCGAGCAGTTACCGAGAAATAATGGCTGTCGAACAGCTGATATTTCACCCACGGGGCCACTACATTCCCTACAGACTTGTTGTAAATTTGAATCTTATGAGCCATTCTGATCCACTTTCCCATTATTCGTTCGAAACTTTGAATGGTTGTGAATCTAGTTCCGTTCTCAAGTTCTTAATTTGTTATATCAGATACAATATGCATGCAAAATTTGAAATAAGACATTATGCAGAAATTTCCGGTTCAAGTATGTTATCCAGGGACAAAACGAAGGAGCAACCCCTCTTGTTGAGCAACAACTTTTCATAAGAGTGCTAGTATCCATTTAAAAGCTTGAAATCTCTCGCTACTGCATTATGTATTTCTATTTTGAAAGGATCTTATAACGCTGTAGCAAATAAAATTATGTTCTTCCGGTCGCGTGCATTTACATGCCACATGTGTAACGCGTCATCGCAACCGGTAGATCGCCGTATTGTAACCCCGACAGCCCCCCCCCCCCCCCCTGCACCGTCCCCCCATACATTGGCCCAAAAAACAAATGCCTGTGTTTGTAAACTTGTGTTATTTTCCTATTTCAGTGCATTGAAACGGTCTTTCCAGAAATTAAGCGCAGCGCTGGAATCACCGAAAGTCCTCTATCGAATGGTTATTCATATTTACAAGGAGAAGTTCATGCCTACTAGAAATATGCGTGTGGGAAACACAAATGTTTTCTTTTTGCTACAGCGTTACAAAAAAGATGTTTTGGAAAAAATGGTGGCTTAACGAGTATCCAGAAATTTACGCTTTTGAATATTTACTAACACTCCTACGAATACTCCGAAATTATAGTATTATCACTGCTTTTTTTCCACTGTTATTATGTTACTTATATGACTAAGAGATTGAGTGGTGAACAAAAACACGGCCTCAGGCGGGAATCGAACCCACGTTTCATCCTATCTGGGGACGCGTGCTCTACCACTACACCATTGAAGCACATTTGCCCGACCACTCATTCTTCAACATCTCAATGTTAGCTATCAGCCACCAACCTTTGACAGGTTTGGTCGGGTATGTGATTTCACTTTATAAACCCAGTTGAGCTGATAGCTATTCTGATTACTAATACTTCGAAATTATAGTATTTTCACTGATTTTTTTCCCAGTGTTATTATGTTATTTATATGACTAAGAGATTGAGTGGTTTTTGTTTTTGTTCGCCACTCCTACGAATTTCAATCAGAATTCATTTTCATGCGGCACCGCCTCTTGCGGTGGTATGATGTTACAATATAGCCAATGTTGTAGGGTGGTTCGCAAAAGCGTTCGCGTCAGCTGGGATTCGAACCCATATTTCACTCTGGGCGAGCGCGTACTGAATCGCTGCACTACCGACGCCCGTTTTGACATCATTCTTTCTACGCTACAGCGCATCATCTGTCAACAATCAACACGAATTCCACCTGGCGCAAACGTTTTTGCATACCACTCAACATAATTGAGTATACTCCTATGATTAGATGAATAGTCTGGCCCAGCGAAAGGTCGTTTGTTCATATGTCCCCGGATAACAAACTTCTACCGAATTTTCTCAAAGTTTACACGAACCGTTATCACAATCCACTGTGCAAATCCTTGCAAATCTTGCATTCGTTTTATTTCCTCGCATTCACCCTCCACCAGGTTCTTTTGATATTTCAAGCGCTGCTTAAGGTGCTGTTTAAAGAGTTCTCTTCCTTTTGGATGTCGCGAAATTGCTGTCGAGACGGCTTTCCTTGAAATCTTAGAAGAAGCCGAGTCAAGACGTTTCTGAGTGTTCGGATGACTGACTGCATGAAGCTGTAAGAGGAGGGGAACGAACTAGCGCCTTGCTTATTACTTTTGCTTTCTGATGCACCACATCACCAACCACTGGGCAACATCATTCCTATATCCATATATATTTGATTAAAGTATACGTAATTACTTCAACAATTTTCACCATGCCATCGCGTGATTCTAGCTCATGCTTGTTATCTCTACCCATTAAACGAAGTTTTCATTGGAGAATAACCACTCAAACTTCCATTGAGTCGGAATCCACTACCTAGACAAGCTTCTCATACTTCAAGTGGAAATACATGTCTATGTATTTCAATCTGGATTTTTCGAAGTAGTATATTTCAAGCTAGAAAAATCTTTCGTGATCGTACCAGAAATCGTCGAAATCTTTGCATAGTTTGCAATGAGGAAACATCTACCTTACAAATTTGTAAATAAAATTTCGGACATCTATAGATACCACCGACCTTGACTTGGTTTTCAAAATATTCTTAATTAGTAATTTTAAAGACGCAATGTATAAGTGCTAGTCAGTAGGCGAGAAATTTCACAATTATGGCGAATGGGGCAGTTTCGTAACTCCTAATTGTTCAATATCTGCAGAACAATTCTTATCTTTGAATGGCCACGGAGTGACGCAGCACTTGAAAATTTCTAGTACCTCTCGTTGATTCACTGAGTTTTTTTTTTATCGAACTTGCTTCATCCCGTTTTCAAAAAGATGCGGTGATCGAGCAGAAACGGACAATCTAACGATGAAAATGACCTTTTTCGTAGTCTCAAGTTTCACCTTTCCAATTAAGAGCACCCTCCGACTACGACGAGGGTCTGTAATTTCTTTAATCAGGGCATTTCGAATTCACCTGTTCCACTTACTTTGTACTCAATCATAAAGTAAATCGAACGGAAGCCAGACGGGCCTTATTTGTCACTATTGAGTTCAAGAGTGTTACACGGGCTTCTGCTCCTATAGTCAGTCAATAAGCATAATGGTTCTGACCTGATCTACTAACCTTCCTAGTATAGATTTGATAATCCATAGAACTCAAATCACCTTTGAATTCTAATGTCACTAAAAAGCGATTACGAAATATTCGTATAAAATTCTACTTCATAGAAAATTCTGCAATGCATTTATTATAATCAAACAACTAAATTGAATTTTCCATTTCTTTCTACCTTTCACTTTGCAAGATGCCCCGGACAGCACCAAACATTGCTACATTCGAAAGCGCTGGATGATTATTCATGTTGATCAAGTAGCATTGAGATTTCCTATCGATACATCAGAGCAAAAGAGATTAACCGAATCGAAAATGTAGGTGTGGTCTTTGAGTTTTTTATTCCTCTTTGCGTCCTCAATAATCTTGTAAACTCGCCATGTCGCGCACATCCCTCCAAAAAGAGTCTCTTACTAAATCCTTCATGATGACTTTGTGAAAAATATGATTATACCGTTGTAACATCCTTATGGCCAAGAAACATCTTTAGGTCTTCGTCATAAGATGATTTTACTGTGCCAATGGCCGAGATTGCCAAGCCATGCGTCAGTGTAAATCTTCTGAACCCTTCAAAACTTAATCTTTCGATGGACTGACGTGGTTTTTAAAGCCAAGCTTATGTATTGGCAAGCTTCATCGACTTCACTAATACAACTCCAGGATAAATACGCTTGAGTATATTGTAACCTTTTTCTGTGAAAAGTGTATCCCATCTCTGTGCAGAATGATGACGTCGTGCTTCGCCAACTTATCCCTAAGCTTGGATCTTTGGAAGTTTCCCAAATTTGCTTAGGCTTTTTTGCGAAGGCTATAGTCGATTTGATTTAGGCGGCCCATGATAGCGATGAGATCTTAGCAGTCTCTCCGTAGTCATTGCAGCCAATACTGACATCTTGGGAGCTATCCTATGGTGAGATAAATAGGCTTCGTTAGGTCCATTGTTCTGCCAAAGATATCCTCAAAAACATTATGAGCCCTTGAGAGTAGGGATAATCGCACAGTCTCCAGATCTATTACAGATAAGAAGGTAGAATTGATGTTGAAAACAACTGCGAGAGAAGGAGAGAGAGCTCATCTTTTGATTCTTTATCATTCGCGCAAAAGGTTAATGTATGAGGGTGTTCATCGTCACCGTTTGACAATTCCTTCTCAATACGTATCACCCTTTTTTGGATATATAGTCATAACATCATAATACTGCTGTAGAATAATTCTGACACCTTTTTCTACAGCAGCTCTCCGAAATCTAACCGCTTTGACTTTATATGTTCTGGTGTTGCAACGCTTTATCAACAATTCGAAGAAAAACTGGATTATGAAGGCAATTGTGGCGCTTACCTCAGAACGTGAGGTAGTTCTTAGCTGGGCGAGATGGCAAAATGGCAAAAAGTTATAAGATAGGATCAAACTTTTCCCACGCTGCAGCAAATGATATTCAAACTTTGAGAGCTGAAGGAATATCGTAATCATAGTGATGTAAAGTCCGCGTCAGGCGGGATTAGAACCCACACTTCAGTATTCCCGGGAGCGCGGGCTCTATTCTTTACACTATTGACGCCCCAATTTGCACACGACTCCTTCTACGCTATAGCGCGACGCGAAAGTTTTGCACTCACTCTCATCAGTGGGTATATTCAAATATCATGCCACCGCTACAAAGTGGTCAAACAAAAAAAAAGAGTTCGATTGATCATAAATATATCATATTTCGGTTTCCACTTCATCCCTACTCCTCAGAGAGCTATGTCACTTGTGCAAAGTAAAACAACAAGAGAACAAAAATTGTTCTTTTTACAACCTCTCTATAACAATCAAATTGCTAATTAGACTGGACGTACATAAGTGCTATACTACTCAAAAAATTTCTGAAATGAAAATCCAGTTACGATCACACGGATATACGCAGCGCAGAGTTAAGAGGCTCTTGCAGTGCACTTTTTTATTCTCCCAGAATAGAAAATTGAATTTAGACATGTCTGAGGGAATAAAAACACTGGCGTAGTGTATCACCACGTTACTATAAGCCATTTTAAAGGTAGGATATGCATTCAGTCATCCTTGTAATACTTGATGAAGTCAAATGGAAGGGACATCTCTCGAAGATCGTTTAGCGACGAGTGCTTAATTCCTAAGCTCCAACAGTCACCACATAACTTTTGTCATAGTTAATATTTGAGTAATTTGAGGTGGTTTCATCAAGTTCCTCCGTACCTGGAGAGCATCAGGGTATGCATGAGTCTCGCTAACCAAAGAGGCTCGTTAGTCGCATGAATCTCGCAGCTCAGTCACGCTTTATATATGCACCTGGCTGGATATCCAGGTAGAAATTCTTTTTCATAATCAGGACACGATATGAGATAGAACCACAGTTGTTCTGAGATAAGGGCAAATTCTGGAACCTCAAATGAACTTTGAGACCGTGGTTACCCTTTACAGGTGATCACGTGTTTCTCCACTATAACATCATGGCACTTATTTTAGCTTTCTTTTGAACATTTCTGACTCCATTAGCGTTCCAGATTTTTCGAGTTCTTGAGCAAACATATAAAAATCTCGACATTCAAAGAGCTTTGCTCGGGGTACCACAGTGTTTAGTGATGCGATGTATCAGGAAGCAAGGTGATGCAAGGTGTTAGTTCGATCCCTTCCATAACAATCTCTTACAATCAATCAGCTATCAACGTCTAGGAGCAGTGTAACTGTCCACCTACAAAACTTCAGAGAGAATTACGTCGACCGCCATTCTACGACAATCATAGAAAAGCCAAATCCTCGAACAACTGCCGAAGGAACAAGTGAATGTTTGAAGACCTCTGGAGAATGATGAATGCGAAGAAACGAATCCAGTGCAAGAAGTGTCGAGATCCATGAAGTAAATTGCGACAACGACTCGTGTGGAATTGAATAGAAAAGACATGCACTGGTTTTTTGTATCACCGCTTTAATAGCAGTGTGTTATGATGTTATAATCATATACTCAAAAATGCTGAGTGATATATTGAAGTTTCGGCTCTTTTATGGGTGACAAGCTGGCACAGCTATCGCCTGGGGTTCAGAAGTTTTTTAAAATCATTCAGCGTCCTTAGATACGTGAAATTAGTAACATTTATTTCACTTGACGTCTACTTAGAATGTTCAGAATGAGAGACGCGCCTATAGATCTAAGTCTTAAGAGTTCATTGTTTTTACTGCTTTTCCACAGGTTGCGATGTGTCAAATATACACCCAAAAGAATTGAGTGGCAAGCAAAAATTATAAGTATAATGCGACATGTATATCAGATCAAGCCTGTTTAAGGTTGGTTGCTGCCAGCTACGACAGGATATTTAAGAGAAAGAGTGGTAACGAAGCGGTAGCCTTGGTGGTTCAGTGGTAGCACGCACCTGCGGTATAAGTGGAAGGCGAGTTCAATTCCCGTAAGAGGTCTACAATTTGCTTACCTTTCAATCCTGTTTGAATATTCTGAGAAGTACTTTTGACCTGATAGATTAGTTATTTCGTAAACTCTCGCCATCTTGATATTCTTTAAGCGCTAAACCAACGGAGCGATATCCCGAGGAGTTCCTCAGAAGCTGA